CGAGCTCATATCCCCCGTGGTCTGACAGGGAATTGTACCAACTCCAGTGTCGCAAGAAAGGCTACATCGCCAGTGGCATCCGAACAAGGACAGCCCCCATCTCTACTCGGCATTCAGGCGTGCCCGTGCGGCTGCCAGAAATGCCTATCGTAGGAAACGCAATGAGTATTTCCAAACTCAATGTGCTGAACATAGTCGCAATTCACACAAACTGTGGCATATCATCAACACTGTAACATCTCGAACTCGCCAACGTATTGAGCCAACATGTGATGTGGAGGATGTCGCCACAGCCTTCAGTAAAGTTGTTACTGATAATGATAGACCCCCTGTGCTCTCCATGCCACAGGGTCCATCACGCCCCACAGCCTTATCAGCTTTCCAGTATGTCCGAACCAACTCTGTTTATCGTCTCCTGAGAGGCATCAATGCAGCCAAGGCCACAGGCAGTGGCAGCATCCCAGGAGTACTTCTGAAGTGCTGAGCTGATGTCATTGCTCCGTCTGTTGCTGCTCTCTTCAATGCCTCAGTATCCCGTGGTACAGTACCCTCTGCCTTCAAGCTTGCACACGTATCACCGCTATATGAAGCTGGTGACCCAGCAGTTCCCACTCACTTCCGTCCCATTTCCCTTCTCCCAATCCCGTCCAAGCTATTAGAGAAGCTGGTGCAGAAGGAACTTGTATCAGTCATGAACATCACGGAGTCACTTCCCTCCACTCAGTTGGCGTTTCGCAGCGGCCATTCCACTGAGGATGCACTAGCTCTCATCACCAACCGTATCCTTACTGCCCGGGACAAACGAATGTACACAGGTGTCTGCTTACTGGACATGTCTAAAGCATTCGATAAAGTTAGACATCACCCACTAATTCTCGACCTCTTCAATGTTGGTGTCACGGCCACAGCCCTGCGGAGGTTTATTTCTAACTTCTCTGAACGGACCTCGCGTGTTTGTATCGGACCATCACGCAGCACTATCACTCTCTGCACCTGCGGAGTGCCACAGGGATCTGTGCTCGGCCCCATTTTGTTTAACGTATACACTCGGGAAAACCCTATGTTGCTGGACAAGCTTTGTCTTTGCAGTTTGCAGATGACATTGGTCTCACTTGTACTGTAGGAGTTTGGCTTTCGGCTTGTACAATTCGTTTTCGCACAGCTTCCCATTTCTGTATAAAGAACGATAGAAGTATTTCTTGCGTCTGCAAAAAAGTGCTCAATGTTCTAAGACAGAGCGGGGTTATACACTCAGACACAAAGGATCTCCAAGTTTCTCAGTTTTGCAACACTGAGAAACTTGGAGATCCTTTGTGTCTGAGTGTATATATATATGGTGGTGGCAGTCAATTTTTTCTTCAGACTTTTCCCGTTTGTCTCTTTCCTTCACACCATTTAATATATATATATATGTTGGACTCAGTAGAGCGTCCAGCCCCTATATGATATCCAACCCCTATAATAGTGTCCATTGGTCCAAAATCCACTGTACAGAGTCCAAACTTGGAATCAACTGTGAGTTCAAAGTTTAGATGGACATCATTCCCTGTGTAGAGTCCAGCCAATTGGCTTCGCCCCTATATAGAGTCCATTGGTCCAAAATTAACTGTATGGAGTCCAAACTTTGAAATCAGCTATAAGGAGTCTTTATGTGGACAACACTCCCTGTATAAAATCCAGCCAATTAGGCATCCCCTATCCAGAGTTCAAAATTAGACATAGAAACTGCTGTAAGCAGTGAATATTAACCAGAAAACGGCCTCTCCCTCTAATCCTTTACATCATTCACTTCTCAAGATAAAAAATAAGTATTGAGGCGCCACTGCAGCCACTTCATTACATGAAAAACCCTACAAACACCATCCTCAAACCAAGTGGTCTCTTCGCAGATGCTGCAAATTACAATATCTCAATCATGTAGTGTTGCCAAATTATTGTGCACGCACACACACACACTCATGCACACACCCACACAACGCCAAGACAATACCTAGAAAAAAACAAGAATCAAAAGAGAAGTATGGAGAGCCAAGGATTAATTATTTGTTTTCAAATTATTGTGTGCGCGCACGCGCGCGCACACACACACACACACACAAACTTATACAACGCCTAGAAAACACCAAGAAAAGAGTAGAGACACAATACACACGCAACTCCAACAGCCATGCAAACGTCCACCCATTTACACGTAAAGTCAAGAGGGATAACAAATAATTATACGAAACGATTGCATACGTGGGCGGATGCACGCACGTTTACATACATGTAGTAGTGTAAGAGAGTAACATAGTGCAGTAGTCAGCATATACTAGCACATGCTGAGAGTGCAATAGCAAGCTTCACCATTGCTCATGGCCATGCAAATGTTCAGCAGCACTCAGTTCCGCAAGCTTCTGAAGATCGGCACACCTGCAACAAATAGATAGCACAAGGATACGCGTATTACCGTAATGATGCATGGGAGCACACAACTACCAAGTTCTCAACGAAAGTGATGCTCAATGAAAATCCATCCGCTCAAAGACCTGTGAACAGGTGACGGTGGGGACAATAATCTATTAGTAATACGAGGAATAAGATCGTTTGTGCACACTCAAGACGCACAGACACACCAACATACATGTAGTGTACTCCACAGTGTTTCGCTTCACTGCAATTAAATTGAAATGAGATGATTTGAACAATCTGTACAGCGTTGCCGTCAGTCAGTCTTCCCCAAGATGGAAATGCAATGATTTCTTGTCACGAGGCAATTTCAATGACACAATGTCATGTTTGTGACATCAAAACGGTTACTTCATGGAATACGAGTACATGTATTAGCTTGAGAAGCTTTTTCTTGTCGGCATACAAGAAATCCTCCTCCTCCTACTACTACTACTACTACTACTACTACTACTACTACTACTACTACTACTACACTGGCGCTGCGTTTGTGGATCCCATTGTATTTGAAATCATACTAGAGTCTAGTAGAGGAAGAGTGTCGTGGAGTTCACATAATTATCACAGGGATAGAAATACATTTCTCATGAAATAAAATAATAATTGATGATAGCTAGACGATCGTATACGATTGATGCAAAGTCCTTGCAGTCCTTGAGGACTGTTACGAAGTGGTTGATTACTTTTATGGCATTCATTCAAGCAACATCAAACAAACGCGATACGATCCTTGAAAATGGAAAATAAATTCAAGCATAACGACAGAACAGCAGACCAATCGAAACGAGTAAAAGCTTCCTTACCTCAGTCATCGTCCTGCCATGTAGTTGGACAGCCTTTTGACACGGTGGTACAGGCAAACAGTCAAACAGGTTATCCTTGTGGCGTCGAACGAAAGAGAGTGTCAGTGTTTCTGACTCGTCAGATTGGAACTGTGCTGAACTTTTCTCGTTCTCCGCTTTCTGCTTTCATCCCTCGCTCTGATGAAACCGTTCAAACGCCTTACTGGCAGCAATGGCAAGCCAAACAGGGGATCCTTGTGGCGTCGAACGAAAGAGAGTGTCAGTGTACCTGACTCGACAGATTTGAACTGTGCTGAACTTTTCTCATTCTGCAATTTCTGCTTTCATCCCGCGCACTGATGAAACGTCTTCAGAGAACCACAAGACGCTTTCCAGATATGATTTTGAATGTCTCCTTATCCTCCTTGGTTACTTGAGACAGATTACTGTCAGCAACTGCACAGCAGAACTTGCAGCCATGGCTGAAGTGAAGAACGGAATGCGCTGCCACGAGGCAAGTAAAACTGAAAAGGTGTTTGTTCTCTTTCGGGCACAACACACAGGACGGCGTGACTGGATAAACTGGACTCCTGGACCGTGAATAGGGGACTCGTAGAAAAAGTGTACTCCTTATAGGGGATTGCGCGGCAGGATGAAGCTGATCAAACCTGAGTGGACTCCTGGACTCTGTATAGTGGATTTTGGACCAATGGACTCTATATAGGGTGCTGGACATCATAATTATAGTGCATGGTATCTATACTGAGTCCTACATATATATTATTAGGTATCACGCTCCTCGGCTTTCGCCTTGTTGAGCACTCTCAGTAGGCTGCTCTAGTGCTGCTGCATCGCGCAATGCCCGCTACTTTTTGTAGTTTGAGCACTCTGGCGCTAGAGCGACGAGCTACCTTAATGTCTGTGGTGCCTCCTTTGCACCATGGCTGGTAACTCGGCCTATTTAGCTCGTAGCTGTACTGATGAGGCCTTTATGGCCGAAACAGCTTGCTGTCTACAGCATTAGATATCACGCTCCTCGGCTTTAACTTGTTGAGCACTCTAAGTAGGCTGCTCTAGTGCTGCTGCATCGCGCAATGCCCGCTACTTTTTGTAGTTTGAGCACTCTGGCGCTAGAGCGACGAGCTACCTTAATGTCTGTGGTGCCTCCTTTGCACCATGGCTGGTAACTCGGCCTATTTAGCTCGTAGCTGTACTGATGAGGCCTTTATGGCCGAAACAGCTTGCTGTCTACAGCATTAGATATCACGCTCCTCGGCTTTCGCCTTGTTGAGCACTCTAAGTAGGCTGCTCTAGTGCTGCTGCATCGCGCAATGCCTGCTACTTTTTGTAGTTTGAGCACTCTGGCGCTGGTGCTGTCTACAGCATTAGGTATATTAGGTACTTCGAAGTATATATATATATATATATATGTGCTGCGCTGACGAGTCAACAAAGGACGAAACAGTTCTGTCCGCAGATTGAGTATATATACTCAGCGCAGCACAGAGGAAATGAGGCCGAACCTGATAGCAATGGAAATAAAAATTTCCAATCAGGTCCGAACGTACCTTGCCAGAGTGCTCAAACTAACAAGTCAGCGAGCTCTGCAGTGGATTTTTTTTGTCATTCATGAACCTGATGATGGGCCAGGGCCGAAAATTTGGTGTAATGTAAATCTTAATTGTAATTTTAATCGCAATGAAGAGAACATTTTGGAGTTGAGAAGTGAAGTTTCCTTAATGTTTCTTCTTGCTCCTTTATTTGCCTCAGAGGGGAAGTGTGGTGTCATCCCAACTATCAGTCATGGGGAATATCAAGTAGTCGATGCAGGTGTTGGAAACGTAGCTACTTATCACTGTAGCCCAGACTATCACATGATGGGATCTGGTCTGCTGATCTGCCAAGAAAATGGACAATGGTCTGAAGCCCCTTCATGTGAGTGTAATAAGGAATATTTCTGATAGAATAACGGGGGGGGGGGGGGGGGGGTCCAACTGTCAACCACTCTATTCATCTGCTATTCACAATCTTGGCATAACTCTATTGTTGATGTAACATTAAGAATAATCTGCCCGCCTGTGTGAATTCACTACCAATGAATGCTCTACAGCTTTGTGTTCTGCTTCTGTCAAATCCGATGAGAATTCCAGTTCTGATGTAAATACAGTCTGACAATGGCCTGTGAAACCAGATCACGGACGGTCAGCCATACAGATTTCTCCACCCCCAGTGCAAATAGTCAAAATAGTTCAAGTAGTGCAGTGATCCCTACACGTTTCTTGGCTTCTTGACGCTACAGAGAAGAGCAAAGCAATGATTATAGCTTAGTAGTAGGGGTGAAATGAGTATATCGAATAGTCGAGTGCTCGCTCGAAAATTTGAAACCAGCAGGATACTCGTTTCGCGAAATACTTAAGTATTTTATGTACAGTGTATTGTTTTGTTTTTTGTTTTTTTACTGAATACCACAGTACCATCAGATGCTGCACATGCATGTACATCAAGCATTTCTGTTACTCTGACTGGTACTGATGGCCCATGCATCTAGTAGCACTACAGAGAAGAGCACGGCAATGATTATGGCTTAGCAGTAGCACTCCAAAGACCGAACATTAGCAATCGAAAATGTCCACCGTGCACATGCTTTGTTCCATGTCGCCTATTCTCTGCAACAAGAAAACTGTGTACATACATGTCCCTGCATTCAAACCCAAATAGCTAAACCCGTTGTTAGACTGAAAGTTGTGTACATACATGTCCCTGCATTCAAACCCAAATAGCTAAACCCGTTGTTAGACTGAAAGTTGTGTACATACATGTCCCTGCATTCAAACCCAAATAGCTAAACCCGTTGTTAGACTGAAAGTTGTGTACATACATGTTCCTGCATTCAAACCCAAATAGCCAAACCCGTTGTTAGACTGAAAGTTGTGCATGTACACATAGGATAGGAAGGTAGTTAGTTCAGAGTGTTACTAGTCATGGTGTTTGTAGGACTTTGACTGCGTACTGGGGATCTGACTGCCTATAGATGAGTCAGTGCACACGATTCGACTGTTTACAGGTTTTAGATTGCATAGTGGCCTCCCGACTGTCTATAGTGAGCTGCCTGCCTTCTTTTGAGCTCCAAGGAAACTAGTTTGTGCTTGAAATGTGTATATACGGTGATGGCTGAGTCCTACCAGCTCGTGGTGACCGTCAAATTTTTGATTTTTTCTTTTAACATTATCTTTGCCACTCCCTAATTCAGTGCATATTTGATACTAATCTGTCATCTCTGATATGCACAGGTGTCGCCTATTGCAAACCATCGCTTATCCCTAATGGTCGTATTGTAGAGCGATCAGAAACTTACCAGATATCACCTATCTATTCTCCTCCTCCTCCTATCAGTACTTTTCCTCTTGCCGAAGTTTATCCAGAGTGTGATAAAGGTTTTGAAGGAATGGGAAAAGCAACTTGCTCAGGAGATGGGGCAAAATGGGAATATGAAACCCCATTGTGTGATACCGTTGAAAATACCGGTAAGTACATTCATAATATCCTATCTCCGGACAGTTAGCTGCTTGTAACTGTTAAGTCACATCAGAGGATTAAGGACTTTCCTTTATGATCTCAGTGAAGACTAGTAAGCAGAGGAGCTGCAATGTTCAAAGTCCGGGTGCTCTGACTGCCACAGATAATTTCGTAATCTTTTCATGATGGAAGACAATGTTGCAACATACAATCTTGGAGTAATCGGGTTATTGTATCACCTTAAATTACTAGAATATAGTTGCGCTTGACTTACTCTTGTAACATATAAAGTTAATTTTAACTTCTTTAGATGTGTCCTTCCCCAGCTACATATACATGTGTCTAATCTACTTGTTAACAATTACATTCACAAACATGGAAAAGAGTGATAAGTTAATGAAGTTGATATGTGTGCATTGCCGGAGGATCATGACTACGTGAAACTAGTAGTTGCAACACAGCTTCTCCTCCCTCTCTTGATCGTGTGCATATGAAGAAGTGCAAGTGCAAAGTGTGTGTGTGTGTGTGGGTATGTGTGTGTGTGTTTGTGTGTGTGTGTGTGTGTGTGTGTGTGTGTGTGTGTGTGTGTGTGTGTGTGTGTGTGTGTGTGTGTGTGTGTGTGCGTTTGTGTGCGAGTATTTGGATTATTTTGTGGAGCACTCATCTCCTCAAATTACCACTTGAATTTGCCAACCAACACAAAAACAAACCCAAATCCTCGCACACAAACACACACATACACACACACACATACCCACACACACACACACTTTGCACTTGCACTTCTTCATATGCACACAATCAAGAGAGGGAGGGGAAGCTGTCTCTTTAATTTACCACCCAACGCACCTTTTTGTATGTACATATAGTTTGAGCACTTCAACTCTCCATACTGTTCTTGGGCGCTTAGTCCTTTCAGTCGGGGAATGAAGGTCGTTACAAGTGGAGAAAACACTCTAAGAGGGAGTTAGAAAGTTCTAAGGAAGCTGTTCTATTTTATGCTATTTCCTTTCTCAATGCTTTAGAAGTGAAGCAGGTAGGAAGTGGAAGTGGAGGATCTGACGAGGGCGACAGGAAAGAATTGTCCCTGTTTAAGGAGGGTCCTGCAAGCGAATCATCCCAATCTGTGGAGAGCCTCTCCGGCAAAACATCCCAATCTGTGGAGAGCCTCTCCGGCAAAACATCCCAATCGTCTAGGAATGTGACCGAAGAATCAACAGTTATGCAAATCTAACTTCAGAAGAGGGTAAGAGATTCACTGCTAGAGGTCAGGACTTTGAAGGGTATACCGGTATAATATATTATGAGATCATCTTTAGTGCTCGCAATTGGGAAGTCAGTCAAACAGTTGGACCATGTTCCGCTACAAGAGCAGATGTACATTTTCCATCTTTCCACACCGTTCAATTGAATGATTCAAATACAGCAGTTACATGTCCAGCTTTTTCCCTTCATTGTGATCCTTCAATTGTAGTTTCCCCATGGCTGGTTCAAATTTGAACAGGGTGTACAATATTCTCCCCTATTACATCCCTAGATTAAAAATTGAAAAGGCAGTCTCTATGTTTGTGTGACTATAAGAGATGATGAATTGGCTACAGTGGAGCCTCAGGATGTGGGAGAATGTATAGACAGACAGCTAGATGGTCTTCAAGAACACAGTGGCAGAAGAAAGATCCTTATGTACAAGTGCCAAGCCGAATCCATTTTAATCACAAAACGGATGCGATTCAACACACCTTTCAAGTTAAAACAGCTTGTGTGTTTGTTCTGTCCAATATCGGATAGTTCAAGCATGTTTACCTACAGAACTCTACATGTGCTTAAAATGCTTCTGATGTCTACCAACAGAAAAGTGGCAGCACTCTTCTACTATCTTGTTTGTGAAGCCACCTGTGACCACCGTCCATTGCACTTGCTTCCTCTATTACCTGATTATATTTCTCCACACCAGAAGCAAGAGTATACAAACTCGTGGGAGATCATAAAATGTTGTCATAGCCTGAAGTTGTAATGGTAGGTTTGCCTTCTAGCCCTCTCCATAATATGTGAAGTTTTGTAGTACTTCGAGTAGTTATTGCTAATATTTCAAATTAATAATAAAGTCAAGTTGAAAATACTTCCACGATTATGATCTAGCAGGAGTAGTGTACTCTTGAATCTACTCGAAGTAGATTATAGAGGAAGTACTAGCTTATAGAGGAAGTACTTTTTTGTCCTCCACGCATAGGATATGGGGATATGTTTGGGATTTGGTACTTCAAGGCCTCATGGTTCCTCTATCAATAGAACAGGTCCTGCATTTTCCTCGACTTGGTAAATCATGGAAAATAGCGTATTAAAAATCAAGAGATCCACCATCCATGCATCACATGTCAGGAGGAATGCACTATTCGGTTCTTTCCCTCATTCCAGATCCTGCGTATGCCCCCCCCCCCCCCCCCTCAAGCTCCCTGTGTATTCACATAGGCAGGTGACCTGTGTGGATTCACAGGAAGCATGAGTTTCGAAGTCTGAAGAAGAGTATCACTAGCCTGGAAAGAAGGTCCTAGGTTCTATTCCCGGGGTGTTAGTCAATTTTTCTTCAGACTCTTTCTGTATACATCTGTTTAGGACACACTCGCTTCTATTTCTATTTTTCTCGTCACCAGCGCTCATACGTTTCAGGAGGTCGAGTCCGGAGGAAAAAAAAGAAAAAAAACTGTGCTGCAATGTGGTTACCAGTCATTCATATGTGCACCCTGGCCTGGCCTGCTTGACACATGATGAAAGGTTGCTAGCGCGGCGTGACTGTAGGTTTTGTTGCACAATCTACGAATTTTTGCTGCTCCTGCACAGAAGCTCCTACTTCGTCTACTAGCGCTACATGCAGTTGCTCACTTTGGATGCTATTACTTAATTTTTACACGGTGTACTGGTCGATTTTAGAGAATTTGGTACATGTATGACGAAAAATTTACAGTAAATCTTTTTTTGTGGTCATTTTCTTCTTTTGTTCCACCTCTCAAATACGATTTTAGATTTTCGGGTGACGAGAAACATAGCAATAAAAACGTCTGGCCTTACATCTGTTTCTGTTAAAGGGGAAGTTAAGGCAAAAATAAAATTTCACCAGTTGTAGTCTTCGGGGTGCTGAGTCGAATGGTCGTGGTCCGAGGAAGCTGAGACGCTCCCTTCCTACTTGAATCCCAATCGAACTCGCGCACTTCCACCGAAACTGGGTGACTGTGCCCTACTAGATGGGGATTTGTATGCAAAATGTCACTAAAAGCGCCATTTCGTTCTTATAAAAGCACGGATGACCGCGATTGGCCCATATGTTGTAGTCTTTTGGACGCTGAGTCGACTGGTTTTGGTCCGAAAAGGCTGCGATGCGGCGTTCCTCCTTTATTCCCAATCGAACATGGTTGAAGAAGCGGTCACGTGCTCCTGCGTACACCAGTCACCTGGTCACCGTGCCTGCAGGGTACAACTTACTAGCCTGTTTGACCTTTTTTGGGTGCAGTCCTGTCACTCGAGTTGAACTCGAGTTGAACCTTGGTGTGAAAGTTGTCACCTGCTGGCGTGGTGACCAGGTGATTTGGGCACCCAGGACCACGTGACCACTTCTTCAACCATGTTCGATTGGGAATAAAGGAGGAACGCTGCATCGCAGCCTTTTCGGACCAAAACCAGTCGACTCAGCGTCCAAAAGACTACAACATATGGGCCAATCGCGGTCATCCGTGCTTTTATAAGAACGAAACGGCGCTTTTAGTGACATTTTCCATACAAATCCCCATCTAGTAGGGCGCAGTCACCCAGTTTCGGTGGAAGTGCGCGAGTTCGATTGGGATTCAAGTAGGAAGGGAGCGTCTCAGCTTTCTCGGACCAAGACCATTCGACTCAGCACCCCGAAGACTACAACTGGTGAAATTTTAATTTTTGCCTTAACTTCCCCTTTAAGGATTGGTTCATATATTGCCAGTGCGCGCCGGGAGTCACTGGCGGTGGGCCTCTCCCAGCCAGTCTCGGCGCATTAAGATTTTGTAAACCAGCGGAGTCGTAAAAGAAATCATACAGTAAATAATCGCAAGAGACTACCGGCTAAGTTGGGCAACTCTTGCGATCTGCCCTGGCACCAATCACGTAGAGTTTTAACCAAAAGTGGTTTGTGAACCGTACGCGCCGGTGATCGCCGGTGCCGGAAGCCAGACTTAGTCAAAACTTCAAATAAATCAATACTTGTCCCAAATTTTGCTAAAGCGAAGCTAGAGAGGAGGTCCGTTCGCCAGTCTTGTAGTCGCTTCAATGTGGCAAATTAAGTCAACATACCAACTCGTCCTTCTCGGATGATCTGCTTGACTGTTGTGCCACTTATGAGACGAATACATTTGTGAAAAATGAAAATATGCCATTAATATATACATTGGCAAGTTCTTGTGACTTCATCAACGTTTTCAAGAAACATTTCGACATCATCGCTTACTTGAGTGCAATACAATGCGTTGAAGTAGTTTTATGATCTGCAGTTAAAGGTAGCGCCGAGTGGCCATCACCGAAAGACCTTGAACTACTGAAGAAACAGAGAATTCAAGCTTCAATTGTCAAACATGTCGTAACATTTGGCCACATTCTGTACTACTTTGTAGTAAATTTGGTGCTTGAACCGTATGCGCAATGGGTCGGGAGCTGACTCACTGCCGATGTGTTGCGGCGCCGATTTTGCTTAGTATGTGAACCAACCCTTACATTTTCCCTCAAACGAATGAATATGTTTATGACTTGGGGATCCCTGCTTGCTAGCTTGTACGTGACGTGTGTGGGTACAGGGAGGGATGGGTCTCACCCACCTGTGTGGATTCACAGGAACCGTGAGTTTCGAAGTCTGAAGAAAATGTTCACCAGGCTGCACCATAGCTCAGTGGTTAGAGAATCGCTGGCCTCATGCGATGGTCCCTGGTTCGAGTCCTAGTGGTGACTGTCAATTTTTTCTTCAGAATTTTCCCGTTTGCGTATTTCCCTCAAACTTATGAATATGTTACAAATCCTATTAGTCTTACTCGT